CTGGATGACTTGTGGCTGACTTGCAGGGACTTGTGATGGACTCAACTACGACACTGCACATCGACGCGACGGACCAACCAAGGCAACTAGTGTTACTGAATTGCATGCAAGACTTGGTGATTGCAGCCGAGTGTGCTGCTGACGCGGCTCGCACCTCTTTGAGGCTGTTCATCTTGGCATTGAAGTGGGGTGACTTCAGCATCCTCAGGGCTACGTCCAGTCTCAGGGTGTCCACCTCGCTGACGTCCTCCGCCCAGAAGTTCATGCAGAGTAGCTTCATGGTGGACAGCAGGTCAGAGATGCTGCCGGCTTTCTGCCATTGCAAGCAACCAGGGGAAAAACACTGTAAGACCTTCAACAACTCGGCCAAAAAACAACGATTTCTCGATGTTATCATGGGCTCATTCCGTGCCAAATCATACAAAATCTGATATCTGATGTACCTCCCATGTGACCCAAATCAGATTTGCCTAAAAAATTCTTTAAATACTTTTACATATCAAACAATGAAAATTAAAATATTGACCTGGTATCTTTTCTTCTTGTTACATCAGCTGAAAGTTTGGGTGCTTTGTCACTGTTTAGCACCTAAGAAGTACTGTTTGTTTGGGAGCATTGTTAGAGGCTTATATACTCTTTTCTGATTAAGGTGCAAAGCTGAGATTTTGTGCAAAGGGTAGGCCTAATTCTTTCAGACCCTATGTAAATGAGAAATTGGTGACCTTTTCAAATCTACGAGTAACGGAAATACCGATTGTTTTTTAGTAATTTTGTTTCATTTTGCATGAGAAAGAGCCAACTGGTGTTGCTGTTTTGACGTATCTCTCGGTTTGGGATCCTGACGGTTACTGACACAGTGTGGGGAAAATTGTTCATGGTTCCCGAGGTCATCGCAGATTTTTTTTCTTCCCATGGAGTTTCATTATGGAAGATTCTTTTTGAAGGCCTTTCACTCACAAGTGGATCTGGTGACTGGCAACCTATTGTGTAAGGTTTGAGTCCCATTTGCTAACAAATAGGTTGCCAGCAGAAGTGCCACATGCTTTATGTGGCATGCGACTGGTTCCCTGCTGATGTTTGTTTTAGCTCAATGAATGGCTAATCAATACGATGTCTTTCCCACTTAGCAGCTTTTTTGTGTGTATGAGATCAGGCCAAAGAATTTCCAGGTAAGCACAAAGCCTGTCCAAAAATCCGATTTGAAACTCTTCTGAAAAGTTCGTACTTTCTGTTTCAAGTCGCTGTCTGCCAGCTCCCTGACATACTTCAGGGTGCGCTTGGACACGGGGCCCAGGAAGGGAGCCACCCGCAGGGTGTTGAGGTACTCGGAGGCTACCCCTAGGGGCTGCAAGAGGGCTGCCATGATCTGCCAAGAAAGATAAGGAACCGATAACAAATGCAACATGCCCTTTTTGCGTGGTTTTACTGCAGTGTGGAAAGTCAGTCTGCCAAAGTGACAGTGGTCCTGCCCATAATCACTACAAAAGGTCACTGACCGATAGTCAAAAGTTGAAGTATTAGGTGGCCCCGTAGAGGGTCCAGTAAAAGAAATTTATGTCGCATAATTCTTCTATTTCCTTACAACTTTTTGACAATTCCATACTTGTCAGAGGGACACAGCCTTCAGTAAATGCTTGAGTTCAGCCAAAAAAATCAAATTTGGCTTAAAATTTATGAACTTGTGCTGGATGGGAAGCCGTTTGTGGAACTTGTGCCAATAAGGATTGGCTACAAAATTTGTCTGCTTACTGTTGGGTCCAGTTCTTCGCATGGTTCCAAGGCTCTGGTCTTGAGTTCTTCGAAGCCGCCTTTTTCTCCAAACTATTCAAGTGAAAACAAAAGAGCCTGAATTTCCTTCAAAATGTGGAAGAGTAGATGACCATGTACTTGTAATTGGCATATGGATGATATGAAGCTAGCAAGTGTGCACCCCAAATTTTCATTTGAATGAGCACAAAAATACATTGTTTTGCGTAGGAGAAATGCATCCTTGCATCATCAAACAAAAAGAAATGGGGCTTAGGTATCTTTGGTAATGTTCTGCCTTGTAACTTCTAAGGACATGATTTTATTCACAGTCCATTTGCCAAATGCAAAATGATCTCCAGAACTCAGAACACGAAACTAACACAGACCTTTCCAACATGTCCAAGTTCGAAAATGGCATCTCACTGGCAGTGACAGATCATCAAAATGAGTGTATGAAAACGTAAAAGAAATCCTGTTCAAGTGGACAGCAGTATCAATGGCTTCTCAATCCAAACTAGACCTGGTGCTATCAATTACAAATATGATCAACACGCCAGCTAGCCTGACGTGAAAGGGGTCTACATTAAAAGAAGAAACCAAGCCATATACCTGTATTACAAATTGTATTACTTGCTGATTTTAACCTAGGGCATCAGCAAAGACTGTATAGCGCCGCGTAGAGGCGCAAGATGGAGAACTCTGCGAAAAAGGTGTTATCACCACGGGCGCCATTCAAATGTGAACGTTAATGCATAGGCGCAGGCATACCAGGTGAATGTGCCGGTCGCGGCACTCGCACCGGTTGCATTAACATAGCGTATTCCTACCCAAATGGCGCCCATGCAAAAACAACGTTTTACGCGTATTCACGGTGAAGTTCTCCATCTTGCGCTGCTGCGCAGTGCTATACAATCTTTGGGCGTAAGACCGGCATTTACCATCCATACGGCTCATGCCCCTTGGATGGAACATCAGGTCACCTGTCCTGTGCACTCACCCTATTGATGAGGTTGACCAGCCACCCGCAGGGGTCCTTGTAGGAGCTGAACGGCGGACTGACGGCAAAGGTGTTGTTCATCCCAAACTTGTCCTCCCAGAACAACTTGTCCCAGTGTTTGGAGCGGTTCTTGTAGTGAAACTCTGTTTCTGGGTTCAGTACCTAGCAGAGCAACATATCGCAAACAAACTCTACTGTAAAAAGCTGTGTACAACGGTGAATACATGTAAAACTATAGATCTTTATAAATTAAAACAGCACTAACTCAGAGGGAAGCCTTTTTTCCCACCCACAAGTGCATATATGTCTTGACCTGCTGAAGGATGAAGTTTAATCCTAACCTTCCCTAACCACACAGAATTTAACACCAGTAAAGTTTACTATTTGGTGTTTCATTTGGTGTGAATGGGTACTGTGGGCCTGCACTTACCCTGTTGAATTTGGACTGAACGGGTACTGTGGGCCTGCACATACATGTACCCTGTTGAATTTGGACTGAACGGGTACTGTGGGCCTGCACATACCCTGTTGAATTTGGACTGAATGGGTACTGTGGGCCTGCACATACCCTGTTGAATTTGGACTGAACGGGTACTGTGGCCCTCTCACTTTTCTGAGTACTGTTAAAGATGATGTAATGATAGAAAGCTTCCCATTGAAATGCTGAGTAAGTAGTACGGAATACACGTATTATGTACTAAATACCATAACTAGGACAATCTTCCTTGTTTCTGACCACAATGATCCAAGCAGCCGGGGATGGATATGCAGCATGATGGTGTGTGAGTTGGTTTGAATAGGTACTGCCTGTCCATACTCTTTGTACTGTGCAGTGCGCCTGCTGTACCCAATCAAACAAATCACACAGGTAAAGACCAACATTGGAGTTTGTGTGATTGGGTACTGTTTCAGAAGGAGGTACTGTTGAAGTTTGTGGGATTGGTTACTATGAGGTAAGAGTGTTTTTCCAAGGTGTTGAAGTTTGTGTCATTGGGGAAGGTTAGGTCCAGCAACCTCTTTTGTTGTTACTGATTATGGGTGTTCTCCTAACAGCACACTGCAGATTAGAATGCTCTATTTTTGCAGCACAGCTGCACTGTTTGTTCTTGCCAAGTACATGTACTGGGACGAAAAGTCTGTCAGCATTGTAGTCAAGACCATCACAAGGCCAGACACAAACCATTTGCAACACCTGTCACGAGTAAACAGGGCAAACAGTGAAAAGGGAGTGCTTTTGTTTTTTAAACAGCTGATGATTTGACATTCAGAGTGGAGGTCTTGTGTTGGTTTTGTGACGGTCTTAAGGGGCCGCGGCTACAACAGTGTGATTTAATGGCGCATGGTCAATGACCCTCCAATCAGATGACAGGAGATTTATTCAAGTGCTAGACGAAAAGCTGATATACGGGTACATGTACGGAGTACCGTCCATTGATACATTCAGCCTGTAAAACAGGATTCCACTGTGCACAAGCAGTTATTAACCCTAACACTCCTCAGTCCTCCAACAGGTGAAGGATTGAGGAGGGTTAGGGTTAAGGTATGCTTACAGCTTTTCCAAACCAGATAAAGTCTCAACCAGTCGTCCAACCAGTAGCATCTGTTGTACCAGCGTTAATTGCTACTGTTAATTTACTGTATTCACAAGTCGGTCAAATTAAAATTGAAAGTGAGGTTAGCGTCTTTATTTGAAGAACCTGATAATAAAGATGAAAGCAATGAAATAAAAGTTTGTTGCAGATTCAGTTCAGTTATGGTAACGAATCATTTAACATTTGTGCATGTAATTCACTTTATCTTGACGTTTTAGCAACATTTCAAAAAATGAAAGTCAGACATGGAACCCAAACTAGTCTGGCACCACCCCATTTGACAGACTCACTGAATAAGATAGAGTTAGGGAACATGATCAAAAATGGCTTCCTTGGAAATAAGGTCTCTGGACAGGGAATGATGGACCATATGCCTACTCCTCACCATGGTGAGCACACCGAGCAAGTCGACGGGCACCGGCTTGTGCTTGAGCCTGGCGGCGACCAGGTCCACGGTCAGCTGCAGCATGTTGTAGATGCCCTCCTGGATCTCCGCCCCCCAGCGGTGCACGGCGTTGGACACCATCAGCTTCTTGATGGCCTCTGGCATGCAGCGGCTGACAAACCGCTTGCAGTTCTCATCTGACTCGATCAGGTCTGGCAAAAAAATTTCAAAAATTGGAATGAGCAAAACAGCAAGATACCGTACATACATGTACATGTATATCTGGTGATGGGTTAAATTTTTGCGGGAAGTACGGCTCAGACATTAGTAATTCTCAGAGGCATGGTTGTGGCGAGGAAAATTGGAGCGCTGGCTTTTTCTTGTTGGAGGGAAGAGTCGGTGAAGTACTTTTTCAGATTCAAGAATGAGCAGAACAAATATATGCATCCAACTGAGTACACGTACATGTACGTACATGTAAGTGTGAATAAATACAGGAGAAAGTGAGACACGTACATGTATCTATATTTCGGTGTTTTCTAAACCTCTTTTTGTGTGTCAGCACTTTCAATCACATATTATGCCACAAAATATATACTGGTCTGCAAGCTTCATTTCGGGATTGTAATGATTTAATTTGCTCACCCGTCACCAAAATGTGCAGTCCCCAGCATCAAATTCATGTATAACATCTAAGAATAGAACAAGCAGATTAAATCAGGATTCTTGCACCTAAAGGACAATTAAATTCCACTTTTCCATGACCAATTCGTGAAAATCTGTGATCCAATAACGCAATTTCTTGGAGTATTCAGACTTTTAATGTTGCGGATACAATCATGCATTTTATGCACTAATATCTATTAATTAATAGAAATTGCACACAGTGTTCGAAAAATTCCATGACATTTCCATGAATTCAGTCATTTTTACAAAAATGACATGACTTTTCCAGGATTGGAAAACATAAAAAAATTTCCATGACTTTTCCAGGCTGCGGGAACCCTGCTAAATAGACTGGACACCTTAAGATTGTAAAATCCATTGCAGCGAAAGGAATTTACCTGTAGGTTCACCGTTACATCAACCCCCCCCCACCAAAAAACCCCAGCAAAAACACAGACTGAATTTTAGTCCCAGATAAACTCCACGCTTTCCAATTCCCACGATCCTGAAGCTTGATGTCAGGCATGCCATGGTCAACGACTGCAAAAGGTTGACGGAGCCACCAACGGGCC